CGCTTGTATGAGATATGTATCCGATACATCATGAGATACGCGTCTGCTGTCTGGGACTCCGACTATCAGAAGCAGTGCCCTCGTTTCCAAGTAGGACGAACCGACTGCCACTCCGCATACGAAACGATGCTTTATGTCAAGACCTTCAGACTGAGCCCCTGGCTACCGTTTCTTCCGAAGTGCTAATACCACATACGAAACACTTACTTAGCAGGAAAAAAAAACTTGGTTACAAATTATAAGCCGGCGCAACGGGCTTCAAACTTAAGTTATATTTATAATATAGGTTAAACTGAAAATTAAAAGGATTTATAATAAATATGAGAGACAGCTTTGAGACAAGCTTAATTCAAGTTTGTACGCGATCCTGTTAAGAGCTAGTAAATTCAGTGTATTTTTTATTTTAAAAAAATTTAATAATTTTAAAAAAAAGTTATGATCCCTATAGCCTTTACTAGCAAGCTGATGTAGCTTATGTAAGGATTGCTTCTATTAAAGAAAAAATAGGTGTACCAAAAATAAGCCTTTCATAAAGACTAAGTCTGCTATGAAATATGATTCATCCTCATTAAGTTAAAAAAAATTATGAACTAGAGCGTGCTATCTAGATTGTAATGGACACTTTGGAAAAAAGTCCTCTGTGCTTAAGCTTTGTAACGTCACAAAACCATGATGAAACAATACAACAATTCGCAATCTGGCTTAGCTATCTCTCGATTCTAATTGAGGAACAATGCACAGTACAAAAATTAATTTCTTAAATGAAGAATATAACTAATATTCAAAAAATTATTTTTGACCTTAAACACTGAATTGGAGATGGATTTAATATAATGTAAAATTTCTTGAAAAATATTATAGTAAGTATTTTAACTGCCTAAATTATAAAGACGCTCTCATTGCACTAGAACAGATAAAGGGGCCAGATGAAAGGTTTAACTTGAGTTAAGATTTATAATTAAAAAGCGAGAAAAATAGGAAAATTTTTTTTTTGAGATTAAAATAAAATAAGGAAATTTACATAAAAAATGTAACGTTACGTGAACGTAAAAAGGAAAGGACATAACCACAACCCTGAAGTTGAATGTCACCATGCTTATTACATAATAGACAAAAATTATAATAATAAAAAAGTAAAAGGGAGAGATAAAAGGAGCAAGAATAACACACGTAAATATTATAGGCGTCACAAATAACTAAATGAGAGTGGAAAATATAAGGCCAGGAGACTCACCCTCCCCCACCATTGGGCCTGGAAACGCTACGAACCACCACTGAGAGAGGCGGCCACAAGTGCAAACGTCGAGGTCCCTTGGAGGCCAACCAGTAATATGTTAGCCAAGCATTCTCAACTACAACCTTCTCGACTTTTTCACTTGTTTACGTGGGTTTGCTTATAAAAATGTGCTGATATCTTAGTGTTCCATAGTTAAGCCTCATAAATGAAAATATGTTTGTTTGGAGAACTGTTTTATTTTACAAGTTAAAAATATATATGTACACAAAATAAAATACAACAAAGAAAAACAAGCAACAAGAGTCGAATGAAATTACATGAGGTGAGAGGTGAGAGCTAATTTTATTAGGCCCAATGCCGAGATATTAAAAAAATATGCCATAATATAATCAGGGACAACTAAATAACGACATATTAGTTACAAACTTAAGTAACCAAATATTATTATACTTCCGCAAGGATGCATTATCTCCTGTTTTAAAGTGCTTAAGCTTTGAAAGGTTTATACTGAATCCGACAAATTTAAACTTAAAATAAGCAATCTCTATGGTATATAGCATCTGATATTAATAAATTTTCCTCCACTGGCAATTGCGTACCTCTCAAAATAACTTGGTATTTTTTTTCCAAGCAGCGTTACTTCTCTACATGAAATCTTCAGAAGTTATATTTATACCAATTAGTAACATACAAGAAGCCATGCTGAAGACTAACGAACAATTAGTTTACTTTCCTGTATTGGCAAAAATATTGAACTCCTAATACTCTCCAGACTACAAAAATTTACAAATTATGCAAGTTTCCTTACCCCACAACAATTTGGTTCTCGGGAAAAAAAAATATTAAGAATAGTAGAGAACAAACACAGAAGCCTTAATTTACATAAAATTAACAATTGTAGGTTTCCTTAGATACCAAAAAATCTTTTGATATTTATTAATTAAATACATGTTGCCAGAATAGCTTAGGGGCGTGCTATATACAAATCATTGTTTGTACGAAAATAAGAAAATTTCTCCGCTTCCAGAACCTTAAAGCTGGAGTCTCTAAGGGCTCCATATAGTCCACCTTTAACCATTTTCTCTTAGTACTCGTATTCCCTTTCAGACTAGCAAAGTATCTTAGCTCTATACGTTGATGACACTGCCGTATTGTTGTCATTTAAAATTACTTGCATTGGTTTTTAGATATGTGCAGGACTTTCTTTAATTACTGTAATATGGTTTTGTGTGCGAGACCTTACGATAAACTCTTTACCAAATGCCATGCGATAATCATCTTAACAAAAAAAGAAGAAAAGGAATAATTAAAGCTTTAACGCTATTGCAAACGCCCATTTCCAGGTGCGATCAGGAAAATATCTTGGCATGATAATCGACTTCAGACATAACTGATATTCCACCAATTTTTAAAGACTCAACTGAGCAACATCGTAGCGTACCTAAAATTCTCATGTAAAGTTGCTTGTTAAAATTTAAGAATTTAACTTTTGTCTTAAATCCTCTTAGCTGAAAAGAAGCCTATTGTATCTTGAAACCCCTTATACATATAGCTATTATCGAACCCATCATGAGTTACGTAACTCTCTTCGTCCTACTACTCAGCTTTGCAAATTAACAGACTTCAACTTTTTTAAAACAGACGCATATTGGTTTCTACAATGTAACTAAATTTTGATTTGTGAGATCTAACCCATTTTACTTTACTTTTATTGGACGGTTTTGTAATGTGTTAATTAAATGAAGGACATCCTAACTAATTAATAACTAACGCAATAAGTTACCTTCCTGCACAATTTTAAAATTAATTTTTTTTTTAATATATATTAGATAAGCGAGTACTGTAATGGTTTTAAAAAATCTATCATCTTATATAAGTAATATTTATTAAAAAAAGAAAGAGATAGATGTTAAACTTATAATTTAAGAACAGCGCTGTCTTCATCTCATGAGAGCTGGCTATAAGGCCTTAATTTCGCGAAAAAGGCCACTCTCCTCTACCCCTCTCCATAATGAGCGAATTAGATTTAATAGTTTATGTTACAGCAGATGTAACGACTGTAGTATGACTAAACGATAAATAATTAAATAAAAAGGTACTAACTAACACTTCCCGAACAATGCACTCTAAAGTCCTTGTACTTTCCTCGCTTTTACTTCCTAAATTTTGATAGCGAACTGTCAGAGTTCAGTGATTTTAATTATTATAAAACCAAGAGCTTGGTTAGTACACACTCGTTTATAATTTTTTTTTTAATGTTTTCCCATCCTTACCATCAGTTAAGCTATTTAGTAACGTAAACATATTTCATTAAGTCGATAAAACCTTTTTCATCTTGGTGGGCTTCTAAGAAAGTTAGTGCAATCTTAACTACTCAATTTAACTTTTACGTGATTTTCCAGGCCTGAAAATTAGCAACTAATATATATTAACATTAAAAAAATTATTAATTAGTCAAAAACTTAAGACACTGCAAACTATTTTATAAGTTAAAATTCTTTCAGGCAAACCTTTAGAACGAGTACAAGAGAGAAAAGGTTTAGCTACATGACTTCTACACTTCACAAGTTAATTAAAATCTTTAAACCCCAACACTAAAATTGTTTGACTGTTTAAAGTAAAATATTAATATTTTCCTTTGCTTTCGCCAATTTAGACTACAGTGTTCTATTAGGTTTCTGTACCTTTTTTTTTTCGTTTATTTTTCAGGTGTTTTTAATAAATATTAACGAAAATTTCATCAAAAATTTATTATTTGTTTAACGTAAGTCTTTTGTTCAATCTGTTGTGTATGTTTACATAATAGCCTTACATTATTAAAAATTTTATATGCCTGCATAAAAACATAATTATTTACAGATTGGCAGTTCACGCTTTTTTTAGAATCTTTTATACGCTTTTTAGTCTTTCTAGTTAAAAATTAACATTGGCGTGGGTGGTAGAAATGTTTTCCGCAACTAGAACGAATTATATAGCTTCACGGACTAATTGTGGCCGGCGTTAAAGGTGGTATTTTTTTCCTTGAAGCAGTGAGTTAGTGAAATTTTTGGCTTTTAGTTAAGCTTGCAGGCTTTAGCTACTGTTAGACTTCCCCTACGCCAAAAAAGTTGACGACCACCTTAAGGGAGGAAATCATTTATAGAAGTTTTCGAATTCTAACAGTTATAAAGACACACAGAGAAGCTCCTGCTAAAATAACTGGCGTCTCTTTATGAAGTTGCCAGAGTACAATCGTCCTGTATTCTGTAGGTTCGCACTAAGTACACTCATTGCCTTCATATCGTTAATGAGTTCTGAAAGTCTTTTATAAGGTTTCTTAGCTATTTGTTCATGGTTTATTCCTGGTTCACTTCCACTTATTTTGTTAAGCTTTCATAGTAAACTCCAATGATATTAATACAACAGTTTAATAATAAGCTTAAGTACCGAGGGGTACGTTGCCTCAGTGGGCGCAAATGCATAAGGTTCAAATTTTAATATTTCGTCCCTCTGTAAATAATACCGTTGATTTTCATAGTTAATACATGGAAATACGAGCTTACCCACAGGATACGTTATTCAAGAGTAATAAACTGATTAAGTGTAAGTATGAGCGTTTTTTACCATATGAGCAACTATAATAAAAATAGTTAAAAATCAAACACTTCTCTAAGTATCTAATTTTTTGTACTAATATGAAACTGGTGGGATATAACAAGAAATACACTTGCCATTTATTGAAATATTAAATTGACTTTATTAACGCAAAATGACTGCTGAGTTTGAAGTTTGAAACTTTTATGTCTTCTAATATATGGAATTGCGGACTGCCCGAGAAGGTCGAGGATAACCTGTCCGACTATTGCGTGCGCTAGTGCTTGCTCGGCTGGCTGCCATAGCTGTGGAAGCATTCCCTCCAATAAACGTAGTTCTAACCATAAAAATTAAATTAGGGCTTTGCAGGATGAATGTAAAACTATGACCTAATTCCAAGGCCAGTGAACAGCGTTACAAAACCATTTTCGAAAATATAATTCATAAACATCTTCAACGGGTCCAACAAAAGGTACCAAATAAGGGACCATATCCACGCAACTAGAACCCACCCGCCACATCCTACTCGCAATCGGGTCAAAAACTTATAACATTATAACTCCCCCTAACCTTTAGGGGCGGACACTAACCTAAGACAGAAGGTTGCAAGAAGCTTCTGACGTCGCTTGTAGGGCCTGTTGCCTCATGATGCTCACAGTACATACAATTTTTTCTACATTGTAATTTTAAGTTGCATAAAAAAATTTATATATATATATTCAATTAAAACCCATTTAAAGGCTTTGGATAGCCCCCAAAACCAAAAATTGCTACTATGGTTGCTATTAATTGAGATATTACGAAAGCCACAATTAAGTAAATGCCAGGTCTGCAGATGTAAGAAAAGTTCCTCGTTCTCGTTACAAATATAGAGAGAGACCTGATATTGACACTATTTGTTTGATATAGCTAATTAGTTTAATTTAGAAAAACAAAAATATTATTGCACCTACCCTGAGCATACATTAGAGCTCGTAAACGTGACTGTCGCTCCCAAACTATGTCGTTGTAACAAGTAGAAATTGCTGCAGAATCAATATTAGGTATTTTGCTACCTATACAAAAAAAAAACTAGTTGAAATTTATTTCTAAGTAGCTAATATTATATTAAGGAAGTACTTACAAAAATCCATCGCCTCAGTGTACGCCAAGTTATATGACAAACCAAACAACTGACCAAAAGCGGTGTGCGAGGCTAAATAAAACAGTACCCAAGAGGAAATTGTTAAATACAGGCCGTAAATTAAGCCCGCAACGAAAATTTCGCGCAAAAGCCAGCTTTCAGGATAAGGGCTAGATGAAACTCTGTCTTTTGACAGTGCTATCATAGCTCTTTAGCATATTGAAAAATATTAGTTACCAATACAATTTGAGTATAATCAATTATTTTGCTTAAAGGAATTAAGAATACCCATCATTAAAGATTGCTAGTAGTACAATTAAGATAGTTGGAAAGTTCCAGTTGTATATAACGGTTAGATGTCCGAAAGTGAAGCAAATACGAAAAGTCATGGCTACTGTGTACTTTGCATAGCTTTTCATCCTTTGAAAAATTTTTCTTGCTCCGATGATAGCTTCTACTATCACGCCTAAGCCGGGTTGAGTTAAAACTATGTCTGCTGCAGCTCTAGCAGCTTCTGTAGCACCTGCTACTGCTATCCCAATATCTGACTGGTTAATTAGGTGAGCTATCTTTCCTATAAAAAGCCAAAAGAATTACCTTCTTCAAAGCAGGAGCATCGTTTACTCCATCACCCGTCATACCCACTATGTGTTTCATTTTCTGCAACTGAGAAACAATTTCGTATTTATGCTCAGGAAAAACTTCTGCAAAACCATCTGCCTGCTCAATAAGTTCTCTAAGTGGAAGGGTGCCTTGCACAAGTCCTCTCCTGCCGCCCTGCTCGAGGACACTTGTATCGTGCATGTTGGAGCCCATGCCTAATTGCTTGGCAGTTTCAATAGCAATAGGCAACTGATCACCAGTGATCATTTTAACGCCTATTCCCAATTCTATACATCTTTCTATGGTGACTTTTGTGTCATGTCTAGGTGGATCAAACAAAGGGATCAGTCCGACATATTCCCAGTGGTCATTATTTTCTCCTTCAGAATAACCAACCCCTAGTGCTCTATAGCCACGGCTGGCATACTCGACGATCCGCTTATCAATCTTTTCTTTTATTTCGGCGTAATTGCGAGCCATTTTTAAAATAACTTGAGGCGCGCCTTTTGAGCATCGAAAAATTTTACCGTTATTTTTCGCTCTAATAGTGGCTACTGTTTTTTTATCTACGGGATTAAAGGGTGTATATTTAATGCACTCGTACTTTTCCCATAATTCAATTTTCTCCTCACAGGCTTCATGAACTGCAATATCTATAGGTTCTCCGTGCTCAACTTTAGCTGACAAAGCTGCATATAAGCATATATCATTTTTTTTAAAGGGTTCTAAAGGTTCCAGGTTATCCATGTCAACCGATAATTGGTTCAGAGTTAGAGTGCCAGTTTTGTCAGAACAGAGCATGTCCATACCGGCCATCTCCTCAATAGCTGTTAGACGAGAAACTATTGCTCCGCTGGAGGCCAATCGGAAGGCTCCCATGGCCAGAGTGACGGAGAGGACGGTAGGCATGGCAATGGGAATACCCCCCACGATAATTACCAGCAAGTTAGAGATGGTGGGGCAGCTGCCTTCGGGTCCCAAGCGACAATACAGTTTTCTGCTTCCAAACTGGACTATAAGTTCGATAATTGCCCAGAGTAGAATGGCTAGCAAGCAGACGGCCCCGATGGCAGTCATGACTTGACGCAAGTGCCCAGGGTTGTCCACCCCGCTGACCAAGGAAGCAGCCTTTCCAAAAAACGTATTGGCGCCTGTTGCATACACCAACGCAAAGCTTTCGCCTTGCTTTACTGATGAACCAGAGAAGACAACTTGACCTAATAGTATTTAAATAGCTTAACAAAAAGTTAAACTAAATAGATAATAAATATCTAAATAAAATTTTTTGGTTTCTTTTACTTTTTTTTTTGGAATAAATCACGCTGAATATGGTATAAAAAGTAATCTAACAACAAAAAGTGTATTATTATTTACCCACCACTTGACTTTTTTACGGGTAAAGATTCCCCGGTTAAGGCAGCTTGATCTATTACTAGTGGTTCTGAATTGCTTTGCTCTAAGATTTTGCAATCTGCTGGAATTACGTCCCCTAACCTAACAAAAATAATGTCGCCAGGTACTAAGTTTGCAGCTTCCCTAGTCAAAACTTCCCCATTTCTAAGTACTGATAAAATAAATTAAGTTTACAGCTAAAAACACACATAAGATAAGTCTTACCTTTTGCTTTAGGCGAAAGAGTGGACGTAAGGACGGCTATAGCGTTACCAGCGCTTGTTTCTTCGTGGTAACCAATTATTGCATTTAGAAAAAGCAATCCAAAAATTAAGATGAAATCGACATAATCTAGCAAAATTATAGAGAGGATTGCAGCAATCTCCATACTCCATGATAAAGGATTCCACAAGAATCTTAAAAACCTTTAAAGATAGAGACTTATACAGTATAGATATAACGACTTAAATGTAATAATACTTTATAATTCGACTTTCTTCATTACTCTCAAGACAGTTTTCTCCGTGTATCTCTAAACGCCGCCTCACTTCGCTATCTGCCAGTCCACTTTCCTTATTAACCTATTACAAAAGATAAACGTACACAAAAGATAAACGTACATAAGTACAGAAACTTATTATTTAGTTTAACTGCAAATAGCTACAGTAGGCGATAAAAATTTACTTTTAAAATTTCGAAGGCTTCTTTTTCACTGAGTTTAGAAAAATCTATATCTTTTATGTGTGCCCCTTCCTGGTTCCCTTTTAGATCTTCTTCTTTTATACACTCTTTATCTTTCATCACCTTAAAACTTTAAAATACTACTTAAAAAAGTAGCCATCCGCAGATATAACTTTTTAACAATTTGCGGTTTGCTATAGGTTAAAATATGGGTTAGGGGCTGAGCGACTGAGCACACTATCCTAATCAAAATTTAAGGGAGTCGTAAGCGGTAACAGCAGCTGCGAGAATAATAATATAAAATTCTTATGGGTTATAATAGTGTCTAATACAGTATTAATCCAGTTACTCATTATAGGAAAAAAAAAAAGTGTCAGAGTTTATAAATGCTCAAAATATTGGAATACCCACAGCGATTAATTTTTAGCACAGGGAATCAAGTCCTCATATCAGAGAGTAAATACAGGATGTTTAAAGCCTATTATAGTTGGAGTCAACTAGCTTAAAAACTTATATATCCAAAAATTTCCGTCTAATATATTTATTACATAAATTAAGTATTTTTTATAGATTCAAGTGGCGTCCGCGAAAAGAAAAACTTAAAAATTTTTTTTTTGTATCCACCACAAAACTACATGAAAAAGTGCATAAGTAGAAGGGGTACCGAATCAATAAGTCGTACAGTCGTCCTTGTTAATGAACATACTTACACTTTTGCCTAAATTTTTCACACCTGCAGATTATAAAAGCTAATTGTGTGCGCAAACATCTACAAAAAATTGGCCTTTTCGTTGAAATCTTGTGAATAAAAAAAAAAATTTATATGCTAAGGACAACATAAATTCTCAGAAATAACTTGGTACTCCTACGTAAATATTTTAACAGTAACCACACGTTCGTGCTCCTAATACAGGCATTATTGTCATAGAGCTAAAAAGTTGATAAAAACACCGTTGTAGTGTTTGACCCCATAAGAACACGCACTCTACTACCTTATGGTACTGCCCATGTTTTATAATATTGTAGACAAGAATATAAAAGTTTCCTCTTGTAACTCATGTTAGTATACGAGTTCTTGTCATATAATTGTCCTTCACTTCAAATTAACAACAGTATACGTTATACCGTAATCTTTTTCTTAAGGATTCTTGTTAAAAGGGAAGAGTTAGATTCCGTATATTTATTACTCACCACAAAGTAACCCCAAAAATTGGTCAATCATTTCACCGAATCTATCTACCAATAGTTAACTCCATATAGCAGCTTTAGTTAAGTTTTGGAGCCCCTTAAATTAGTTTTTTAGTGGAAAAGAAGAAAAAAGGTAACTCGACAACGACAACGAACAAAACACACTCGTACCTGCCTTTTTATAAAAAAGGAAAGAAATATAGTAGACTTAATATATTTTAAAATTACCAGAAGAATTTAATTTTGAAAGACGGTAAAAGAGTTAAATCTATCTAATGAATTTTGGTAGGCCCATTTTCTATATAAAAGTTTAACCACCCTTCTTTTTTCATATTTAAAATTCTCAGAGTGAGAAGTTTGCGCTTGAGGGTAATAAGCAGCTGCAAAAGGCATTAAAAATAATAGATAACTCGCATTTTTATTTGAGGCGAGTTAATTACTTCTTGACTAGCACATTCGTTTAATAAAGGATGTCAGTCTCATTTAAAGGTAGAAAATGGTGATATCTTTGTGGGGTTTTATATAGACTGCAGGGTTCTAGCCCCGTTTCCCAGTATTTTGTAATTTATCCTAATATTATATAGCTTTGTAACTATCTTACATTTACCCTTGCTAACCTTACTAACCAACTGGTTAAGACCTCACTACCCTGAAAGCTAAAAGGCAAAACCATCCAATCGGAGAATTGTTTAGTATAAGTTTTAAATGGCTTTACAAATAACATTAAACAGACTTCAGCGTGTGAGCAAATGTAAATACTTTTTTATCGAGTGTAACTTTTATCAGTTGTTTTTCTTTGAACTTAAAGCAATGTAATCCTTTTTAATTGCTAGCCTGTAGACATGCAGAACACCGCCGAAAGCGAAAAAGGCAGCACAGAATAAAGAAAATTCTCCTGTATTATTTCAATTGTAAAAATTGATATATACTGAGTACAAATTTTTTAAACAAGTGATTAAGTTCAAATAATAGCGCATTCAAATAGTAATAGAAATTGCATCACTTTGAGACGCCAAAACAAAGTTGTATGGCTTGAAGCGTTCATATCGCCTACAATAATTTTGTATGCCCTGAATTTAAAATAAATGACAAAAATTATTATTATTTTTTCTACTGAAAGCGTTTAGTAATTAATTGGCTTCAGCGAACTATGTAGAAAATATTTGGCAAGATGGCATAAATCATTTTATGAAAACTTGAGAAACTACGAGGCGCTTTATTAAAAAACTCGCTATAAATAGGTGAATTATAGGGATAAGATAATGAAATAGGGTTTCATAGTAGCCTCCAAGTCCTTAATACATATTTTTTAATTACCTACAGCATTTCAAACAGCAAGAATATCCGAGCTACGAATTTTTGTTATTTATCTGCTGTGGTATTCGCACCTTTCGTACCATTTACTTGCATAAAAACTTTTACTTTTTGAGGGCGACAATATATTCTTGTGCCATAGTTGACCTTATTGTGATCATAAGTTCACTATTATGGAGAACAATAACTATTATTTTCAATTTAGCTTTATTAGTGATACCACGATGGTTTGTGGGATACAGGTAACGTATGGTCGGCCCTCTTTCTCGGAACTAATAAGAATGACCTTTGTGTTTTTCTATAGCCCCTCCGCCGGCCTTTAAAGCAGACAAATTTGCACCTTCTTTTACTTATTTCAGCCTATGAGCTAAATCTTCTTTCAAAGAAACCGGAAAATGCCTTAAGCTAACTTTCTCGGCCAACTTATTTTTATGAAAATCATATAGTTGGAATGACTATAAATTTCTTTCGGGTTTTCATAAATCTTAATTATCTTTATAAATTATGAACTTTCTTCAAGTTTTCCAGTTATTAGAATGAAAAAAAAATTTCTAAAGATTTATCTAAATCGATGAAGAACTTTTCTTTGGTAGCGATATTCAAGATCTCCTCGCTTGACCATAATCCACAGAGCTTTCCGAATTTCCGCTTCGGGGTACCCCTTATAATTAATTATAACAAAGATAATAATAAAAAGTTTATAAAAAAACCTGTTGCAAGAAATCTTCTATAATCACTCGTTCACTGACGTTTGCGCCAATGAAGAATCGACGTTGTATCCGTTTTTCTATTTCTCTGGATAAACTTTTATCGCCACTTCCTTGCATACCCTCCAAAACTACAACACCAAAAAATAAAAAAGATATTAAATATATTGCTTTGTAATAATGAATGAAGCACACTTGTCACGTCGCCATTCTTGGCCGCGTCCAGTGTGGAGACACGAAAAAGACGCAAAGCTAGCAAATATACATAACCAGAAGTGAGTGTATTATAATAATATAAAACCTTCTTCCACGTCCCCAAGAGAAGCGAACTTAGCAAGTCTCATTTTGGCAATAGCCTCGCTTATTCTCACAAGGGCTTCTAACTGCCTACGCTCCCGGACAACAATAAGAGCCAACATAATAATGATAATAAGAATAATATTGCCTCACTGTTACGGTAATGGCACTTCTACTATTGCGGGTGCTCTGTCGGAAGGAGACAAATTCACTGATCAGTCGTTCTTTTGCTTCCTCGGACAAGCGTGGGCCACACGTCCTTATAGTAATATTTTAATAGCAATGATAGTAAGAATCATAATAAATACCTCTTTGCATAGTTTATATATTTCTTAAGCAACTCAGGGTCGAGAATGGTTTGAGATGTTTCTGAGCCAACTTCGGTAGACTTTTGATGGAATCGGATCACATGCATGGCGATGCTCTGATGCGTAAGTTATTACTATAATTATGACCCTCAATTATTAATATAGTATCACTGAGTCGGAATGTTCGTCGTAAGTGTCCTTAACTATAAATATACAGTCAAAGCGGGATAGAATGGTAGCTTGAAAGTCTATATTCTGCAGTATAACTATTTCATAAATATAGATAAATTAATAAATAAATGATTCACGACTTGTTCTGGGCCAGGGGAATCGTCCCAGCGCCCGAACGTCGAGTTAGCGGCAGCCAGAACAGAAGTGCGCGAATTAAGAATTGTAGTTATTCCTGAACAATTTATAATAAAAAAAAAATAATAATATTGTCACAATAAAAATAATGACGACCCGCTTTAGCTATGCTAATAGTCTGCTGCTCCATGGCCTCGTGGATAGCAACCCTATCAGACTCGCGCATCTTATCAAACTCATCGATGCACGCCACACCACCATCCGCCAATACCATGGCGCCCGCTTCCAAATGAAAATCCCGCTGCGGAGCAATGAACCAGTGGGGCGCTTGCAAAAACAGCACAAGAAAGAAAGGACGGACGGAAGCTGGATCCCGTATAACAGAAGCAGTCAATCCAGCTGCCGAGCTGCCCTTTCCGGATGTATAGACTGCCACAGGAGCCATTTTCTCAACGTACTTCAGCAGCTGGGATTTGGCGGTGCCCGGATCACCCAATAGCAGCACGTTAATGTCTCCCCGAAGTTTTAGGCCGTCTGGAAGGCGCTTTCGGGATCCACCAAATAGGAGACACGCAAGTGCTTTTTTAATATCTGCCAGAATAGTAACGAGCTTATATGCTTAATTGAAGCTTTAAAAAGGAGACCGACGCTCCCCAAAATCGTGGGAGATATCGAACGGGCAATCCTTTCATAAATATCGGGAAGTTTTGAAAGCGCAATAAATAACGTCTCGTCCTCGCTGCTGTAATTTAAGTGGCCTTCATTATAAACAATATTATTAACAAAATTTAAATACTTTGAATTTATTGTTACAAGCAATATTATATGTATAAAATATGTTAGGACTTTAGCGAAACCCACAGCATTTTTAAAAGTGGATCGATAGAATTTATAAGTCCTCCGGATATTTTACGATTAAGGCATTCTACGTCCAATGAAATCTAAAGTTTCACCAAATAGTTGCTGCACTCTATATACAGTAACTTACAACGCACTCTTGATTGGCTAAAGTAGGCTTAAAATACGACAGTTTTCTCTATAGCCAGCCTCCCTTTTCCCACTTACAGCGATACTTGTAGATAAATACTAATAAACTATTTGATTATAACAAGCAACTTAGCATGCTAGTGTTAAAAATAGTAATGCTTCATTATTAATAAAGAATAAATATTACAATATTGTGCAAGTGGATAAAATTAAGTGAAACAATTATAATGATATTAAAAAAAATTATTCATAAATTTCAATATATAAATAATAATAATAAGCACAAGCTACAGATGCAAAATAAAACAAACTCGCCACCATTTACGGAATAGTAACAAAAATAATTGAAATATTATATTTTAGAATTCGTTTTAAAAAAGAGTGGGGTATGTAGAAAGAAAATATAATAACTATTCCAAAATGGTTAAGATTTTTTATAAAAAATATATAAAAGAAGCACTACGGGCTATCAGATTAGCCCCGCTGCAAACTTTTTCTTTACGATTGAAAGTTTTATAAACTTTACTACAATAACAATATATATTTTCAGTATTATATATAAGCGCTTAAGAAGAACACTGTTTATAATAACTATTGCACAAAATTATAGATAATACTTATATTTAATAACATTTTCATTAACACTATTAAGCGTTATTAAAAAAAATTTATAGAAAATATATGACTGCGAAGAAACGAAATTACTTTTATATAAAAAGTTTACTTTTATAATTTAATTTAAAAACCCGCTCAATATTATAAAGAGAATAAAATATCTATAGCAACCGCGTCCGTCTTCTTCCTTGTCGTGCATGAACCCAACCACTCTTATATATGGAGTGCGTGTGGTCAAGTCGCTCTTCGATTTCTGTAGAACAAAAATTAATAATAGTACTTAAAATACTTGAAAACAATAAAATTTAAATAAATAAATAAATTTATTGCTTAAGGTTTTTTAGATTATATTAATAATAATTATAGAGTGATTTTAACAATAAACTAATATAACAACTTTAATAATATAATAAATTAAATGGTTTACATAAGAAAGTATTAATTTCATCAGGAAACAAGTAATATTTTATATTATAAATAAAAAAATAATAAAATGTAAATTGATATCAACTGGCTAAAAGTTTATAAATTATGTTTTCTTTATATACCAAACATTTATAATGTTGTGAGTAAAATATAAAAGTTTTAGATGTGTTTTTATAAAAAAATTCAACAGGGCTTTAAGTTTTCGAAAAGCTTCAATATGCACACTTATATATTTAAATATAATAGGAGAATCAAGAATTTATAGAATACAAAATAAAAAAGAGAGGCGTATTTTTAATAAAGGAAGAAACATGAGATGGATTAAATTTTTTACCCAAAATATATATCGCAAGCAAAAAATAATTTGTACAAACTAACGAGAAAAAAATCACAAAATGCAATAAATATTTTGATAATATCGAGATAATACGAATAAAAGGATCAGTATATTGAGCGCAATAACTATTTACGAAGTTTAGATACAAATCCTTAAATATACGACGAAGCCCCAATTTAAAAAGGTGCCAACAAATATGAGGTTCGTAAAACACTTGTTATGGTGCTAATAAACTATGCACCACCACGTGGTAGGTCATGGAAACAGAGGAGAAAGATTAGAGTACTAGCCGATCAAAGCTTGATGGTTATCGCCAATAGAAAAGCTTAGAAACACTTTTTTATAAAAAGAAGAATAGGAAGTTTCTTGTACATGCAGAAAGCGAAAAAGGCAACGCGCCATTATTAATGAAATAAAGTTGAAAAATTTTAAGTTTTCATAAAAAAGTAACTTTTTATTAATTTGATACGAAAGAAAAAGCTAATGAAGATAAAAACACAAATATGCAACAAACTACTCAAAAGAAAGGATAAAAAATATATGGTATCAGTTAAAAAAATATTGAAAATTTATTATTGTGGACAACACAAATAAAATATTCTAAAGTGTCTATAAATATTTTACTAAAAGAATAATAAACAATAAATAGTAATTTTCCGGCCGTTAAAAAGATTAAAGTATTAAATAACTGAGGTATAAAGAAAACATACGAAAGTTGAGTTTTGATAAATGTCGAAAATCCCCACTGTCGTGACACGTGATCCAGCCATAACGGTATTCGTTAAAAATCTAATTGCAAAAAAAAAGTAAGAAAAAAAAAAATGAAAGAAGTGGACGAGATTTATACAGTAATAGTGTTATATGAAATCGATTATACAGCTTTAAAATAAAATAAAAAAAGGTATAATATTTAAAGAAAGTATTTATAATAAATACTGAAATGAATTCAAATGTACGGAATTGGTAAGAATCGTACAATCCACCCCCAAACGTTAAAAAGTTTTTAATAAAAAAAAGAAAAAAAAAAGCTCCAAAGTAACGCAGAGCTTAGAATATAACAAAAAAGTAAAAAATTATATTGACTTGTTCTAAAATATATATAAATTACATATAATATATAAGGAATTAAGAAAAAAGCAAAAAGACGAGTTAACTGTAAAAAATTATTAAAAGCAAATGCGGTAAAAGGTTAATGCTAAGCAAGAAAGATGCAAAATCCTTCAACCTGTCGACCGACAATAGCACGTGGCGAGGTAGCTCACCGGTGGGCACCATTTCTGGACTTTCTTGTAATTTGAGGACTTGCTGGTCCACTAACGTGCATTTGTCGCCAACAATTTCGTACGGATCTAAAGGGCACCGATCTTCTTCCCCACCTATCGGTTCTCTAAAGGTTCACCGCAAAGAAAATAAACTACTTTATCAATAGTTAAAAAGTTCATAATTATAAAAAGTTTAAAGCGTATTAGTGTATAAGAAAAAAAAAGAAACTGAGCAATTAAAAAAAAGTTAAAAAGTAATTTTTTAAAAATTATAAAGGAAATTAGAACATATATATCTATAAAATTACTTTATGTAAAATAATACATATTTAGTAATAATGAAAAGATAGTTGTAAAAAATTATATATACAGTATGTTATCGATTCAGAATATATAAGGTTTATATTTTCATATTACCAAGTTATCACATAAAAAGTTTTGTTACTACCAAGTGAATTAGTAATTAAAAAAATAACCTTTTTTATTAAACTAATTAAGTTACTTACGTTTTAAATTCTTGAAAAGAATTTAGAATTTGTATACAAACCTGTCGCATCGGCGGGGAAAGTTAATCCCAGAGAAACCAGATTTTAAAGAAATACGCTTCGTGTTACCGCAATTTTTACAAGCTAAAAAAATAATGGTAGCTTTAGCTTTTACGGATGAAACGTTAATAACAATCCCAGGGACTTTTACTAATTTCGAAATGTGCTGTGCCTGTGATGATTAACCATTTAGTTGTAATATAGTTAATAACAAATTCATATTTCCTTAAAGTATTGCCAACAATTAAAGTTTGAAAATAACAAAAAATTACGAGAAAATATAATTTTGTTTAAAGTTAGTCAAATATGAAGTAGCACAAGTACAGTCATAACTTACATCCAGCTCTCGAATTGGTATAGGATTTTGGTCAGAGGAAATTGTCAACTGCAGAGGCTTAAAAGGAGCAGTAGGTGGCCGCGGGCGAGTCATTTCATCAACAGCTCTATTAATAGCATTCTCGAACTGTAATATATAACTTAAAATATTTTATATTAAAAACTATATTAAAGTACAAGAGGAAGGTATTCCGTAGGATTTTCAATAATATTATTAGCAAGGATTTCATTTACTTTACTTAAGTGCTCTAAATTTACAGTAACGAAATAGTTACCAGAATTGTATTGCCGTCTTAACAAATCTCTATGTATAAAAGCAGTTAAGAAAGGTATAGTAAACCTTTAAAAGTTAAAAAAAAAAACCTATAATAAAAGGTATCGTCGGAATCTCGATAACTTGAAAGAAAGTTATAAAATAAATTTTCTGTTTCCGTTTTGTTAACTTGCGCTTCGGATTTATATTCAAAGGGGTGTTGAATATCGGCCAAATAAGCAATTTCTCCGGTATCCCAGCCTTGATCAGCCATTATAATATTATACTAAGAAAAACAGTTAACTTCGCTATTACAGGTAAGTTTTTAGTAAGAAAGCCTCCTTCCCAGGCAGCGAAATTGGTCATTCCCGAGGGCTTATACTCTTTGCCGCAGTTCGGCAACAAATACTTACTGCCGTACGGCTTCGTCAGTATTCTATATAATGACTGCCAAAGGCTAAAACAAATTATTTAGTATTAACAAGTACTTAATTATTTTTCATTTTATTTCATGAAAAATTTTGTTAAATACTTACAACTTGCCCTTAAGTTGAGTTTTCTTCAAAGACGTATTGCATAATCTGCAAGCTTCATAAATATCCATTTTTTTTATTATTGCCGTTATATTAACTATTCTGCTACTACGCCTTTTCGGTTAGTTTTTCGTTATGCATATAAATTAGAACATTGTTTTTATGTATATTTAAATCATTTTTAAAGATCCCCTTTTGTGAGTTCTTTCCGACTGACTGCTAATTTAATACAAATATATGTGTATATTTTAAGCTAAGGTTACGATGTTGTAATATTTTATTTTTATAAGTTTTTGTTGGGTAGCCTTGGTTTGTTATAGCTTACAGGAGAATTTATATGCTCTGATCTTAAATTACAAATTGACTTTAATTCTTAGCTATGTTATCAGAAACTGTAAACTCTTGTAACTGTACACTGAACAAAAAAAGAAATTCTTAAGGAATTTAGTAAAATACTTATCTTAGTGAGCTGAATTAATATTGTTTTCCTTTACCTTTTTAACCTAAATTCCTTGAGAGGGGAAGAGGGCAACCTTATTATAAGACAAGTGAATTTGAGTTTTCATTCAGTAGTAAGTAAGCAATAATATATTATAGCCTCCGCTGTCTCCTGCATTTTACTACCTCTCAAGTAGATAGCTTCTTTTTTAACTAAGAACATACGTATTGTGAGTATCTATTTACCACAATAAGAACGCTATGGTGGGCTGCTTTGGCCTTAGTAGTTTCATGGTAAATAGGTTGTGTTATTTCCTAGAATATACTATGTCAATCCAGCTATTTCCTTGTTAGACGTTCAAGGCCTCCTAGTTTCTTAAACGGTGAATTATACTACAAGACTGTTCCCTAACGGATCTTTAAGAATTGTTGCATAAGCAGGTAGATTTTCTCTTTTTTGCCTATAATATTGATTTTTCCTTTGTTCTTTTGCAGCTTTCTGCTAAGCACCCTTTTCAAAGATCTTACTGCTATTTTTATTGAGGAATAAACTCTCTTCCACTATATGTCTTAATTAACACTTTTATCACTTCCGCTCTACTATATTAAAATACTTTTAGTAGACCTGAGACCAAGTGAGTTTTATTAACCATTGTCAACACTTCATTAAGAGTAAATTGTTAGAGACCCATTTCATACCTCCTTGAAATCTCTATATAGTATGTTTTTAGAGACTTAATAGCTTTTAAAGTACCATTTTATAGCGATGATATTTAAAATGCTTACTTCGCTTAACTTAATGGTCAGAAGCCGAAGATAGTTAAAACTATTAACGCATTATTTAGTATACAATGTTAAAATGGTGAGCGATCTCTTTTCGCGGGGGTGATTACGGTAGGGTCTTACGCAGTAATATTTTTAAAAAAAAATAACTTAGCGCACAGATTCAGAGTCATCTTACGTACAACTTGATAGTAACGCCATTATATTGATATGTTTTGCATTATTGGGATTGATATAAAACAGACATTCTTTTATATCTATGACTACTCGGATTGAAAACTTTTAGAGGGCAAAGAATTTTTTTTAACTGTCCTCCAAAGATCTCCTTGATGTGCTAACACACGTTCTTTTGTTATTACTATTATTACCTGAAATACCATAGCAGACCTATGAAAGAGGGCTTAATATACTGCACTGCTTAATCTGATCTAAGCGGGCACCAACTCTTGCGACTGTCCCGAGGTCTGAAAAAGCGGAAAACCTCGGGCCCTCGCCGTTCGGCTTAGTGGTAGAAAACCGCTATAAACCCACCAGCAGGAGAGGGGCAGCCTTAGGCGCAAAACGCGAGGCCATCTAGAGACACCGACCAGCACCATGCCAGCCAGGACGCCCTGTCTATGAGCTCCTCATCTAGAAAGGAAAAGCCTTTCGCATGTGAAGGTCGGTCAACCTTAATAAAGACTTTCTTTCCTTGTGCTAAGGAGTGGCCCCAATAATAAAAATTTGCAACGAGTAAAATTTACGCTTTTACTAAGTTAATCCCGTTGATCTTGTTAGTTTCTATATTAACAGAGCTCAGAAAATATAATAATAGTATAAAGGTTCGTGTAAAATAACAATGTTTAAACTCATTAAAGGTTAGCACGGATACTAACAATTTTAGATTATGTTAAACGAATTTCTCCCTCCTGTCGCGCATTGTGTCACTGAAGCGCCTACAAAAGGTAGCGAACATTAACAAGAATTATATATTGACTAGTTTATTGCGTTGCGCACCCGGTATACAAACAAACCGCACACTGAATCAACTTCTACATTGGGTCATAACACAAGATCAAGCTTACATCAAACTGTTTTTGGGGACCCATTGAGAAAAGTTAAATATATCTTAAAGTTAAGGCCCATGCTACGAAACGTTTTCGAATAATAGGTAATTACTGTTTACATACAATTATACAAACTTGCAAAAAACTGGCTATGAGTTAAAAAAAGTTCTTACTTAACTAGGTAATCTGAGCAATTCACGACTAATGGGTTATTTAAAAGCCTTAGTAGCTTAGTTAGTGCAAAGCACTAGAGGTTTGGGATAGCCATATAAGAACCTCACTTAGTTTATAGTAATAAAATCGAAGTTCTACCTAACTAAAGTTAAGTTTCCTTTTTAATTAATTAATAAACTCTAAAAAAGAAACTAATAGACGCTGGTCAGTAAAAAAATGTATCACAAATCACAAAAAAAATCTATACATTTTTTACGCAGCCTACCTTTTTTAACCCTCTAGAAAAATTGTCTCTTTTTAGCTAAAACCCGTTTTTATTGTGTTTTCTCTTGCCAATAAAAAGTAGTTATTGCTCCATACTTTTTAATAGGGGTAAGGGGCAAACAAATTAAGTAAATGGTCTACATTAGAGATCCGAAGGCTTCGAGTTTGCAGTGTTAACCTGGCGTTTTGCATTCCTTTTTTTTTTATTTAAAAAACTGACAAAAACTTCAATGTATTGTTAAAATTATCAAGCCGCAAAGGTTTCCATTCAAAGGAATAGGATTATTAAGTAATAAGTACTGCATCTGAAAACAATTAAATGTAAGGTATATAGCCTTCCATTTTTAAATTAAAAGAGCTCTTAAAAGTTAACGGACATGTCGTTATATGATTTAATTTTTAAAAGGCCTGCCAAAAATTCAAAAAGTTTAGTACGAAGGATATTATTTAATACTTGCGATTTTAATCGTAGTTTTGATCAAAACAGTGTATCTAACCAAAGTAGTAGGATTTATCACAATTATACAAAAAATAGTTAAAAAATTAGATTTATTCATATTATACGTTATAATTATAGAGAAAATCCGAAGCCAAACTTACAATTCTATCAATAACTTTAATACAATTATAGGCAAGACCCCTTGGTTTAAATATTATATAAAAAATTAATAAACATCACTGTATTAATCTGCTCACTTTAAATTTAATATAAAAATATTGTAATTTTAAAAAGTGGTTAAATCTGTATATTACTATTCATACCACGTGGTACATTATGCCTGAGCCACTATACCATGTGTTTATATCACGTGCTTTTCAACTTGGAGGTAAAAAGAAACACGTATGTATAACATACAGCTAAGACACTGTGACATGATAGGCCTCTACCATAAGTATACGTAATTATGGTCGCGGCAGGTGTTTTACCAGTACAAAATATAGTTAGGAACCGTTTTTAATCGAGTGGTTTTAAAATATACAATTTAATACTAGCGCACCACGTAAACAGTTGCAAAACTTCATATGTTTCACCACTCGTGTAGTCTCTCGAGTTGACCGTACCGCTAACGATAATAAAATTGATATAAATAGAGGGTGCAACTGCGCCCAAGAGACAAGGTCAAGAGACTGGAAGTGCAGTTCATTCGTCTATTAATACGTAAATAATTAACTAAAACGGTAATGTGCGTGCAACTGCCCCTGCGGGACATTTAGTAAATATCAATTATTAATGCTTAATGTTTTCGTAAACTATATTATAGATAAACAAAAAAGATCACAATTACAAAAACTCTGTAATTATTTATTAGTTGATTTTTGAGCTGCCTGAGGAAAGAATAACCCGCACACCTAAAATAAACAAACAAAAAAAAAGGAGTAATGACTACATACCATCCCTTTTATACCACCAACTGTGGTGTGCACTCAAGCGCTCAACCCTCACGTTGCATACTAGAGCCTTCCCTTTTCACTATATTAAAGTTGTTGTTGTAAATTACTGATTTAAATTTGAATGGAATACTGTCCCGAAAGGTTTTGTTATTGAAGATCATAAGCAGCCATTATATTAAAATTTAAGTTTAAAAGTCTTATTCGTGGCCCTAATTAGTATCTGATAACTCAACAACTTACTTTCATTGTGTTCCAACGTACTTAAATTCATGTCTCTGCGACCGGTTTGTTCCCAAAGCTTAATTATATTATATTATGTGAAGTCTTAAGTTTCTTGGCTCATTACTCTCTTATCATATACAATATAAATTCTCTTCATACAAATTCTTGTTTCCTTTCATAGATTTTACACTACTCTCACATTCACTGGAGACTATATTAAACTGAGGCGGCTATGATCTACTTCGTCCAATAGTTTTTTAGTTCGACCAAACCCCTTAATAAATTCAGAGTAATCTGCTTGTGTTTTACAAAGCAGTAGCTTAGGTGGAACTCTCAAAACGTCAGGCAGTCTGTTATAACAGTAGAGGTAAATATCAAAAAACCTCATCCTACTCCACGGGTCTTTCATAACTTTTTACCACCCCTTATTTATGGTTGAATGACCCCTCCAACGACCCCATTACTCTATTGTCTAATAACGGTAACCACGATTTCAGTATTATTCCGAGTTACAAACTTTTTTTTAAAGCTAATAAAAACTGAGTGCTTATCTAATATAAATCCGTTGGTTTCCACTTACTACCGAATGTATTTGATAATTGCAACCCGCATTAAAATAAACCTTTTTTAGTCTTATAATTCATAGCTACGACTACCAAAACGCTATCGTAACCTGTTTTGGTTTTACATTTACTGATAAGCTATAACGTAATTCCGATCAAATATATTATGTGCATAGGCTTTCGCTTATTTGATTTATCACTAAATTTCTGAAAAACCACACAGCTGTCTACTATGTGTTATTCATCAGTTCCACTTCTTTTTTTCACTTTTGAAAATTGGTTTAATTTCTTTTTCAAAGCATAAAAATTTAATGCATTCTACGAACTAGATCTGAAAAGCTTTTTCCTTTAGAAACCTTTGCTACTACATTTTCAGACCACTTATCCAAGCCGCTTGATTATCTGCTAACACCATTCCAAATACAAAGCTGCTATCTCATTATCAGTCCATAGTAAATAACGCAGTGCCCAAGTAGACGAATTTAAGATCTGTTTCCACCCCTTTAACCTTTATTTCGGACAAAATCACGTTTTATACCGTTCTTAAAGAGCTCTATTAGACTTTAACGATCTGTTTCTATAAGTAGTCCTTTACCACATCTTTAAACAGATTCAATAGTTTTGTAGCGTACCAAGCTACTACTGACGCTTCTCTATCCGTTCTAATATAGTTCCTGTATGTATTATTAAAGTTAGAACACTCTAGGAAGGCCACATAGTGGTCCCCTCAGCATAACGCTGTAGAAGAACATCCCCTCGCCTATGCCACCGGCACCCGTTTTTAAATTAAAGATCACGTCTGGCCTCCCTTGATCTACGCTTATTCTCGCCTCTAGTATTTTTAACTTTTTTCAGAATAAGATGCTGCACCTCACCCCAAAAATATTTAGGTTCTTCTTCAGTAGACCACTTTTAGGCTCTAATATAACTGCATGAAAGGGATTAACTTACACATCCCAATAATTTTACTATTGCA